AATGTGGTTTTAGCAGTTTTTCCTAGCAGTTGATACCCTCTGGCTCTGGTAACCACTCACCTATAGCAAATATGATTACAGCTGATTCCACATACTTAATATTAAATGCCAGAGATTGAATGGATGGAAAAACATAGAAGCAATGAAGTTTTGATCCAGCAGTATAGATATAGCTCACAAAGCATTTAGTTATCATGTGGATCAAGCAGCTTAGTACATTTTCTAAGATTAGATCTTTCAGAAGGTTTGCCTGTGCTTGCTGTCAAGTTTGTTTGCACAAGCAGAGATTTCTGGTGGCACAGTGGTGTTATCCTACCAGGGAAATATTTGGGAGAACTCTGCATAGGTTTCTTGCATTCCCTTTATTAACTTGGAAGTTCTCTGGTTTGGTGGGCAATTTCAGCTAGAAGGGTGTCTTTAAGGTACTTTTTGTCTCCGTTGGCAAACACAGAAGACAATCTGTTGCTCTGAAGGAAAAGTACAATCTAAACAGAGAGATGTGACTTTTAAGCCTTATGAGGGCAAAAGAGGTAAGTGTAATTGACTGAGGGCCCTTTCCCTTCCCCTTCTCCTTTTTCCTCATTGTTATCAGTCAGGTATAGCTTAGTTAGACGGGCAAAACGTTTCTGCTCTTTTATTGCTACTGCCATCCCTTTGCCTGCTTGCAACATCTGATCAGACATTCAGAGTTACTGGTGCAGAAGGGAAAAGTTTGATTCATCTCCATCTCCGTTTGACTGTGTCTTTGTTAGTATCTCCCTTATACCTAAAAAATAAAGTAAATATATTATTAAGGTTTTAATGTGCATCTACACTTGGCAGTTGAGTTTCACTCAAGGTTAGTTAAAAGAGGTGGGTTACCTCTAACCTAATCATCTTTTTCCAACTGGAAGGGTGCCAAACAAATCCGTAGTTTCTCAAGTTTTTGTTTTTTTTTTATTTTTGCACTGCTCATTTTAATAAGTCTCTGATGTAAACCCATGTTCCACTAAATTATTAATGCCATTTTTGTTAAAAACATCAAACAATAGAGCAAGATCCAGCCTTAGAGAAGCCAATTGATTTGAGTGGGCTTTATAACTTTTCTGAATTATCACCACACACCTAAATGTATATTTTAAAATAAAATATCACATCATTAAGTGAGAATTCTCAGATGTAGTTCAGAAGCATTTTAGCATATATTTGCTGAAGCTGGCATTGAATCTCTAACTTCTTTTCAAGGTGATGACTGCAATATCAAAATATTAATGTATTTGTGTGGATAATGCTGACCATTATTACAAGTCCACCTTTTGTTAAACTGCACAGTCACTTCACAAAACAACTGTAAAAATTTGATTTAGTTAGGAGATATTGCCAAACATTTTGTTAGTTGTAACTGGTTGTCATCTTGTAGTGTTTAGAAAGTATAAAACTCGTGAGACACCACATTAGTCAGGACCACTTACCAAATTTCCTCTCACTGCATGTTCTGAGCAGCCAGCTCATTTTTTGTCTACCTGGGCTTACACCAAAACTACTCTTCAGCAGATGGTGTAGTTATGACACTGAGAAACACTAAGAAAAAAAATACCCACGAGGGAAGAACAGATAAAATCTTTCCTTTCTGTGACATTTTCCACGCTTTCCTCTGTCTTATTTCTCTGCCATACATACAGGCACAGACATCCATGCGTGTATGCCTGCACCACTCTCTGTGTCCAGCACCCGGCTGACAAGCTTGCTCCAAGACAAGCAGCTGGCATTTGCTGGGTCCTGCAGATGGGTCATGAGTGACACACACGCACTGGGCAGCTGTCTGGATCTGGCACTCAGGTGATTATTTGTTTGCTAATCAACCAGCAGCTCCATTTGTGGAGCTGGAGGTTCAGAAAGGGTGATTAAATATACAGAAAGAGAGGCTGTTGTGTAGTTGTGGGTGAAATGGTGGTGGTAATTAAAAGAGATGTAAGGATAGTTATTGTTACCAGGGCTGGAGCAAAAATTAAATCTGTCTATTCAAACTGCTTGTCACTGAATATCCAATAGCAGTTTCCTAAGGTAGAACAAAAAAAATGAACCCCCTCTGTTTTCCAGTGAGAATAAAGAGGTATCTCCATGTTTACATTAAAAAGCTGGGGTCACCTGCAAAAATTATCAAATTTCAAACTAAATCAAATATGCAGTTTCTCACAACTGCTCGCAAAGGACGTCAGGAGTTATGTGTGAAAAGAGAAGGAGTGAAATCTGATCACTTTGTGCTGCTCAGTTCAATTAGTTTAGCTAGCTGACCAAAATTGCAGGTATTAATTCTGCAGGTGCCAGTTGGGTCTGATCAATCTGCAGGTTTTAACTGATGCTTAGTGTAGCTCAGCTGGCCAAGCAGTGGGCTTAATGCCTAGCAGAGAGGGATGGTCACCTGCTAGGGTATCATTTGTTGCTGTATTTCATGCAGCTTGTAATAAAACATTGCTCTGTGTAATTTTTAATTTATTGTGGGGTTATGTGAGCTTTTAACATATACAGAATGAAGAAAAAAATCCTCAAATGGTTTTATTATTGGAGTAGTTGGGGTGACATCTTGAGGTCATTGGTTTTGACCTCTGCAGGAATGGGGTAGTGTCATTAATTTTGAGTAAAATGCTCCTGTGCCTTAGGCTGGAGTGTGTAACAGTGGGGTGAGCTGAGGGAACTGGGGCTACTTGGCCCACAGAGGAAAAGGAGAAGGGGAGATGTAAGTGCTGAGCTCAACCATCTAAAGAAGGGGTTACAGAGAAGATAGAGGCAGGCTACTATCTGACTTGCTGAACAAAAAAACAAGAGGCTGTGGTCACAAGGCGCAGGGTGAGAAAAATTCTGATTGTAGAAAGGAAATTCTTCACAGGAGACTTAGTCGAAGACCAAAACAGGTCTCTTTGAAGCATTGTAGAGTCTCTGTCCACAGAAACAGTGAAAGTTTGCAAGGCAACCTGGTCTGCCTTGAAGCTAGCACTGCCTTGAGTCGGTGGTGGAAGTGGAGACCTCAAGATGCTTTCTAGCCAAAATCTTCCTGATGGCCCATGTTGCACTTGGCCCTGCTCTCACCTCCAGTCTTTTACATGGAGATGAAGTTTGTCCTCACCTCAGGATACTGTTAAGAATTCAGAATGGAAGTGGAAAAGACTTGCTTTGAAAAAGAAGCTTTTAAAAAATGATTGTGGCTTTGTTAATTTATTGTTTCTAATTGAAAGCTTATAAGGAGTATGATTTTACTTTCTAGTGGTTAGCCAGCTGACTCATGTGCTGTCTCTTGTAAGGACCACAAAGAACTGCCCCGAATCATTCTCAAGGCATCTCATAGCCTTCATCATATCTGGGTTTGTGGCAGGGGCTGTGAACAAATAACAGATTCAAAACCATTGTTTGGTTTAAGTTGAGTAATTCCAGAGTTTCTGCTAAATAAACTTGTCCCTTGGGTTCTTGTGAAAGCAAGAAGGCATCTTGGAAGTAGAGAGAGCCTGTGGAAGCAGAGGTTAGCTGTCCCCTCCATTTCCTTGCAAAGTCTGGACTCACACACAGCCTGCCTGGTGCTGAAGCCACTGGTGTCCAAGGCAATATTGTACCCAGGTTTCCTGCAAGCTTGACTGTCACAACACTACAAATAAGCCAAATCCCAGTTTATCTTGGGTACCTTCAGAGTTAGTGTCTTAAGTAGTGGGGAATTGCAGCATATTTAAAAGACAGAAAAAGGGCTGCACAGTTGTATGTTCATTTGGTATGCCTTGGTCAGATCTTGCTCTTCAGCTTCCTCTGCTTTGCTCACAAAGAGGAAGACAAGCTGTCAATATGCCTTGTGTTCGAAACACCTTCTGTATAAGATCTCTTCTTACTGTTCCAGCCTGAATGCTCCTTTCAGAAAAGGCGGGTTTTGGCCCTTAGCTGGTGGCAGAGATGATGGATTGAGCTCCCTTTGCTCCAGCCCCGGCACACCTGTGTGTAGTCAGCTGTATCTGCTGTTGGGTGATCCTGGCTACCATTCAGTAAGGCAGGACCCCTTTTTAGGGCTTCTTGATGAGGTTTTAGTGTGGCTGTGGTGCATTTGCCTTCAGGATGAGATGACCTAAGGACCTCCATGATGGATGTCTTGCCTCCTGGAGAGCTTTGGAGACTGACTTTAAGCCAGAAAGCACAGAGCTGGTCTCTGCCTGAGGATGTATTTGGGATACCTGGAGACCTTCAGCATGGACTGAGGTAGATTCCTCTACTTTGGGGCAACCTGAGTCAGGCAGTCTTAGGAGTGATCTAGCAAAGCTCTGTAGATGTGGCCAACAGTGTCCTTCTCACCTTACGTGCGCAACTACAGAAACCTCTTCCTCTGTGTAATTCTTCTGCATGTTTCCCAGGCTCTTCTTGCACCTTGCAGAGGTTTACAGAGGTGTCTTCACAGCAGCTAATCTTTTTGAGAGGGTAGATTTAGGATTGGTACTAGCAAGGTTCCAGCCCCTGTGCATAGCTGCTGTGCCTGTAGTTAGCCCTGGAGCTCACTAACTACCCTGGTTCCTTCCAGGCCTCAAAGAGCTGCTGTCCCTGCACACACCTTCATTTAATGAGCAGTAGCTTCCCCCCTTAGCCAAACCATTGGGCATCCACTGTTCTGTGTTGGCAGGGTGCCTGGCAGGGCCTCACTTTAGGTTGGTGCTTAGGCAGTACTGTAGTAAATTATAAAAGATCCCCTCTTTGATGCCTTGTGGGAGAAGGCACTGGGCCTGATTTCCCCCTGCCTCATTCCTTGTGTTGTGATTTGCACAAGATGCTATAAACTGCTACCATGCTGGTTTGGTAACCACTTTGCCACAGGTATAAATTACAACCCAAGGTGCACAGCAGTGGGGGAATGAGGCCAACCATCTCTAAAGGTCAAAGGAGCATTCATCACACCAAGTCTACTGTGACTTCATTGTGACTTTGCATCAATCAAAGCACTGTTGTTAGAGAATCTCAAATCAATACAAAATAAATATTTTTTTTTAAAAGCCACATTTCTGTTTTTTGCTTCTTTGTTCTGTGCAGAAATGTCTTGTCCTCTGGTCTTCTTAAACAAAAGTCCTTGGCGTACAGATTGCAGATATAAATGTATTTAATCAGAATCAGAGTCTGAAGGGATGGGATCATTTTCAGCCAGCCTAAAATAGAAGGGAGCAGTGGTTAGAAACAATTGCTGCAACTGTGACTTCCTCAAACAGCATGGTTCTGATGTCAGATACTGGGAAAGAGGAAGCAACGGTTAGAATGCATGAGGGTTTAACCAAAGGTGCAATTTGTTCCAGCTTTCTGATTAAGTCTGTCCCCTGTAAAAAGGAAATATGAGCAGAGCAGGCAGAGTACTGTTAGAGTTCTCCAGCTGTACAGAAGTAAATGAGGAGCAGATTCGGTCACCCTCAGCTGCCTGACACTGACTGCAAGAGCACATGCTTGCTCTCGGTTCTCTCCTTGTACGCCTCTGCTTTGGTCTGGAGAGAGCTTGTCCCCACCAAAAAACCCCAGAAACTCCTACTTCACAGGGTTAAATTAAAGTTACTAAAAAAAGATACAAAAGTCTGAAAGAACACGAAAGCCATTATTATGTTTGATAATGGTATCAGGATTTTAATCTGCTGCTTGTGTTTAGATTAAAGCATTAGGTTTCCTTTGCTCAGTTTGTTACTAAATTTGATCTGCTTACAGTTGCTGTTTTCTGGCAGCATTTACCTGAAAGAGCTGATCATGTAACAGTGTCCCATTAAAATATGTTTCTAAAGTAGTGGTTAAGTGAAAATGTACTTCTGAAATTCTTGTGAATTCTCCATTTGATGCTGTACCTCCAACACACATACTTACCCCTGGTGTTTCTGTTGTGTTTCATTTTGTTGTTAATCAGCCACTAACTCTGAAGTTGCCCTTCTGGGGCAGGTCCCTGCTGCGACAAGTCCCTTCCCACTCAAGTGTCTGGTGCCCACACTGCTGGTGGCTGGCAGACCAGAGAGGCAGGCAGGAGGATCTGCGGTGAACCTCACTGTCATTTCTCTTGTGACCCACGCTCAGCTGATCTCGGTGCGTGTCCCCCATGCAGTAATACAAAGGAAAGTGAGAAACCTGAGGCTTCCTCTCCATCAGTCCTGCAGAATTGCCTTTATAACACAGTGCAGAAAACGGTAATTTTCCTGCAGTGTTTATCAGCCATGTGATTGAACCTGCATGTTTCATTGACATGGTTTTTTGGGAAGTTCAGCAGAAAGGAGCTCTTTCAGTATCAAAACATAAATTCTGCTAACTTTTCACAAGTCTCTGTACAATCACACTGATCTCACCCCTGCTACATTCCTTTAGACTCATAAATTTGCTGGGCCTTCATGACATGCCAAATAACAGAAGCCATTCTGCAATGCCCAGATTGGAGGTAACAAAACATGGTTTACCTGGTGTCAATTTCTAGTGGTCTGTTTTAACACATTTGCTTGGCATCACCTCTGATTCCTTTCTCTGCAGCAATCTGAGTGTCTTAATTATGCTCAGTGGACAACCAGGGGACAGCGACTCTGATGCATTCACATGCTTTGAATGATATAAAAATGGGTTAAAAAAATTATTTTTTTTTTAGTAGGAGATGGGAAAGGGAATAAAATTACAGTTTGTAATCATCTCTGTTTTTCTCCTTATTTCTTCTTGTGTGAGGAGCCTTGGCAACAGTTGTGTTCTCTTACAGGTGTGCCTTGTGCTGGCTGTAGGGCTGATGGGCAGGCAGATGTGTTGTCCATGGAAAGGAGTGTCTTAATTTTGGGAATGTGTGGTGCATGCACTGCTGCCACATTGAGTGTGTCATAGAAGTGGAACCTCGCTCTTCGTTCCCATGAACAGCAACACCAGCCTTGTCCACCACTGGTCGTAAGTCCTAGTGGGATAACCAGTCATCCTCACCACCTGTTGGGCTGCCTGTTGCTTCCTGCTTCCTGAGCATCTCTTGCAGCAGCCCGAGCAGTTTTTCAGAGAGGGGGCAGTGACAGCAGCAGGACTGAATGGACTCCCTGCCATGACAGGTGTTGTAGAGATAAATAGTTTGTAAATCTAGAATCTCAAGATATGCCAAAGAAAGGAAAATTTGTGGCCCTAGTTTGCAGGTTAACTCTTTAAATTCAAAACCTAATCAGCACTTGGTACAAAAGACAAATCCAAAAGTAATCACAGAATCATGGAATGGTTTGGGTTGGAAGGCACCTCAAAGATCATCTAGTTCCAACCCCCCTGCCAGGGACCGGGACACCTTCCACTAGACCAGGTTGCTCAGAGCCCCATCCAGCCTGGCCTTGAACTCTTCCTAGGGATGGTGCAGCCACAGCATCTCTGGTCAACATGTTCCAGTGCCTCACCACCCTCAAAGTCACAAATTTCTTCCTAAAATCTAATCTAAACCTACCCTGTGTCAGTTTAAAGCTATTCCCCTTCTCCTACTACCATTTGCCCTTGTATTGTGTGTCAAAAGTGTTTCTGTTGTGCCTCTCAACATAGCATTTAGTCACCTGTTCCTCATTTATAAACATTTTAAGTGGAGTCCTGGCATGAATTAAGTGGGGCTAGAGGCTCTACCACAAGGTAGAAGTACCACCTCTACCACCAGGTACTGATGGAGATCCTTGGGCTTTCAATGAAAATCAAACTCAGAGATTTTTATTTAACCTGGAGTGTCCTTTTTCCAAGGTGAAGGCTACTCATCCCCAAATTTAGAAGCTACTGTACAATCAGGTTTGCAGCCCATAATAATAACTTCTCCATTCTCCTATGCATGGTTTAAAAAATTTACCTGCATTTTTCCTACCACTGTGAAGCTTCAGTTTCATAACTCAAAGACAGCATAGCATGCTATCATGTGATAATTATCAAAAAATCACGCATAAGGTCAAGAGAAATGTGCTGAGTGAACTGGGATGTTTGGAATCCATAGGCACACGGCCTTAAGGCTGAAGGAGATTAATGCTTTTGGCATCACGCAGAGCCAGTATTATGTTCGTGCTGTGGTAGGGATTTCTTTTTCCACAGACCTCCTGATTGTGAAAGGGGATTCCAAAACTCACATGCAAGCAGCAAATGTCTCCAAGTACACTGTGGCACCCATCCAGGAACAGAAACCCCCGTTACTGTCTGCTGCCACAGTACACTGCTTGGAAATGAGATAGCCACCGGAGCGCGGTGTATCACGGCTCTCAGCAGTCATGTGAGGGAGACATCAGGAAACAGTAGCTGACAGTCACATCACTGCCAGTCAGAAAGGGATCGGTGCTTAAAAGGAAGCCCTGGATGCTTTCAGCACGACTGAATCCACTGCTAATCTGCATATGTCTGGATTAGAAGTCACACCATCATAAAGATGCCATGAGCCAGGCAGCACCCATATGTCATTCGTGTGGCGACAATTCCTAAATATCCCGTCCCACACAGCTCTATTCCTAAGCATAAACAATAAATAGGAGGCAAAAGGCAGAGCACACAGGCTGTAAAGCATCCCTGTCCTGATCCCAGGATCCTGTATCATACGGATCGCTAGGTCTTTATACTCTGGTGTATTTGCATATCCTCCTCACCATTTGAAAGAAAAGATTATTGCATTTGCCAGTAGTTTTTCATTTTAGTCCTAAAACAACATTATGATGTGGGTTGACTGAATATATCATTCTTAATCAGATGCAGAACGGCATTCCCTACCTTCCTGACAGTGTTATGGACCGCATACCGTTTGATTTAGTCTGGTGACAGGGCTGTAAATGTGGAGCTTCACAACAAGCTCCCAACCAGGGTGATGCCTCCTCTTCCAGCCTGAATGCAAATACTGCTGGAGGTGGAGGCTTGGCTCAGAGTGACCAGATGAGGATCAGTGCTGGTATGTGTGTCTGGTTCTGAATGTGAGTGTGAGCTTGGCACAGAAGGGCAGAAAATTTTGGACAGATTAACATGGATCATTTTGACCATGTGGCTGAAATGAGTCAAAGGTCAAATTGGATTAATCTAGATCTGTGCATAAGGGATAAGCAATATACATGGTGCTTTCTTTTTTTCGGTGCATTGATTTATGGGGAAGACCTGTGTGTTGTGACCTCCCAAAATATTTTTCATATGCTAGTGATTAGTTCAGTGGTGAATTCTGTGATTAGTTAGTGTGATTTGTACAGCAGACTGAAATTAAGAGACAGAAAAGCTCTTGTTGAATATAACATTTAAGGTAAATGAAAGTTTTGCCATGAAGACAGCTGTATCATGCATATATGAACAAATACTTCTCAAACCAGAGCTGACTTTACTGAAAATTGCTTGCAAGTCTTTATCTATCTGTGGTGGCAGAGGTGAAAATCTTTGTTCAAGAGGTTATCAATGAAGAGTGGTCCACCTCCAGTGCCTGTGGATTGGCAGGCAAAATGATGCTGACCAGGTCACAGCCCACAGTTTGTTGGCACTCCCAGGTGTGAGGCCTCTGGAATGTAGCTGCAGGTTGCAGGCTACATGGTAGAGATGCTCTAGGGTACCAAGGCAGGAGAGGAGAACAAGTTGTGGAGATGCAGAGCCTTTATTTTTCCATTTTCTTTTGGAAACCAAGTACATGAAGCAGCTGTTCCAAATGCAGGTGCTCTCCACTCATCACTCCAGCTTTACATTCTTGTTCCTGGTTGTATGTAGGTGCTTTGAGGATGATCAGGCTTCACTAAAATAGTGCTACCCCAGTTATTGCTGGGTCTGAATCCAGGATACAAAGCATATGAAACCAAAGCTAAAGCTGGTTCAGTGTGTGTTGCCTAGAGCTACCCAGCTCTTCTGAGCACTCTCATGTACTAGGTACTAAGTAGGCTCTAACCAGTTTGGGGAAGATTTTTTTTGTTTGTTTTAATGTGTGCCTGGGCAGACCTCATCTGTAAGTAAGGGCAGATGTCCCAAAATTCTTAGCGTTTCACAGATGTTTGTGGCAAGGTTTCCAAACATGACTGAAGAAGTTAGGTACTCAGCTCTTACTGATTTCATGAAAGCAGTGGGAGTCGACCAATTGGCCTGTTCAGTCACATTTGAAAATCCCACAAGATACCTATCTATCTCCTTCAGCTGCTTTGGAAACCTCTCTCCTAGTGCTTTCTAGAGTGTGTTGTCATTAATATTGAAAGGTCAGTCAGGGTTGCAGTATTATTTGAACAGGGCTGATGTTTGTGGAGGAGACACATGCACATCATACAGGAAACATGAGTCCTGGACTGGAATGCACAGCTAAGGCTGTACTGGGCTTAGCTGTGTGGCTTGAGGCAGATGGGCACTTCTCGCTGGAGATGGAAATGCAGACTGAGGGAATATGATTTAAATACGGACATAAATCCTGAATCAGGACTGAGATACTTCAAGCTGAACTAACTGATTTGACTGTATACTCTTCTTTTTAGAGTGCAATTCATGGCACTGGATGCAAAGTTTACTCTGAATTATTCAGCTGTTGTGGGCCCTAGGTATTATTACATGGTAGCTAGCCTTCCTGAATTAATGTTGCTTATTCTACTTTTTAATAAAGCTAAAAAATTAATTGTTACAAGCTCAGAATTTACCTTGTTTGATCTCACATACCCTCTGTGTTGTAGAGTTGGAGCTACAGTGACTTTTGAGCGTTGGGTACAGTGCTTGTCCAAACTGGTGAAGATGAATAAAAAATAATATATGTATATACCTCAAGGACACAGTAACAGGAGGCAAAGCAAAGTCACCATGATGTTGATACAGATGCTCCTAGCTGAAATGACATTTTTGGGCTTAGGCGTTTATGTTTACTTTATGGGCTGTTAAGCAAGTACATAATGTTTTGCCCAGAAAAAAGAGACTTACATGAGCTGGATTGCTCATTCCCTGGCTTCCACGACATCAGACAGCTTGAAGGAAACTATCCTTAGGAAATTCTTCCTTTCAACCTGTCCTTCCCTGGACAGCCACCTTTTAGCCCCTCTCCTTATTCTCTGTGTCGATTCTTAAGTATTGCTTTCTCCTCCTTCAGCCTTCCACCATAAACTTCCTGTCAGAGAAGGAAGGGGGAGACAGGGGACGTACATGTAAGAGGGAAAATTAGTGTAAGGAAAAAAAGGTCTGAAAAGCCTGGGAGAAGGGTAATATCTGGGAAGAAAGAAAACCACTGGACAGCAGAGAAGGTGAAGGGGAGTGTTGACAGCATGCATTTCCTAGCCTAGATGAAGAGCAGTACTGGTTCTGCTGGTCAATACCTGTGCAGAGCCTTGTGCCAGACCAATTCTGACATCTTGAGGGTGAGCTCAAATTTTCATCACTCTTCATTTATAGAATCATGGAATGGTTTGGGTTGGAAGGGACCCCTTAAGGTCATCTTAGTCCAACATGCCTTGAAATTAACAGGGACATCTGCAACTAGATCAGCATATGGTCAGTGTATATGTGTTAGCAGTGCATTGCCTACCAAACATAATCCAAAGTACACAGCATTTATCAGGAGATGTGAATCTTCCTGTGTCAGCAACACTCCCTTTGATCTGCCTGCACACCTACCATTTTCAGCACCTGCAGGTGATCCCCTGAGGGCAAGGTCTACTCCACCATTTTTAGATGAAGGGCATGTGTGATGATGGGGTGTCTGGTCACAGAGCAGGGATGGTCAGATGTCTAGGAACCTTTGGGAATTTTTTGTCTTTTAAGGATTGCTACATGAGGAGGCTTCAGGATTTATTTTTTTTTTCAGAGAATCACAGAATATGCTGCGTTGGAAGGGACCCACAAGGATCA